ACTATCCTCTATGTTCAGTATCGTCAAATAATTAATAATTCTTGACTCAAGGCAAAAAATATCTGGTATCGTTAATCATTACATATTGAAATTCTGATGTAAAAAGCAATCAACCTATGTTATTATAAAATATTTAAAGTTCTCCAACATAGGATATATTCTACGCAATAATTATCGATATGAATTATGTATTAATAAAAGTCGGTTTTGCTCAGTGTGTTTGTCATGAATTAATACGTTTTTATGTAGACACCCGTGACTGTAGTTGGGAAAATGAATTTTATTTTTGCATACATTTTCAGTTATAATTGTGTAATTTCTTCCAAGACACCATAGTTTCTAAAGCACAAACATCGAGTGACAGTAACTCTTGTGTTGTTACATTTCGAGGGGTATAAAAGTAGATATTTGTTTTAGAATTCGTTTACTTTTATTTGAAAAGATATAGTACATCATCTTAAGTTCAGAGACATCACCTTATCTTACTGTTGTCCACAATTCTTCGACAGGTTTCCCAACCTCAGGTGACGGGAACTCTCCGTGAACCATTACGTCCATGTGCTCCGTATACAACTGACCGTAATGAAAATCAATTAATCCGGACGTACGCCATGTGCAAAGAAAACCCAGTTCCAAACATATGGGGAGTACAAAGTATCCAGTGAGTAAATACGCAAAAGGTTTTCACCGTATGGTCTGCATGGTAGCGAACACGTATGTCATCACTAACAGATAGACACCATTAAACATGTTTGTTCTGAGCCATAACCCATGGGGTGAAGATTTTGCAACAAAGATTGACAATATTGTTTATTGATTAGCGGATAATTATTTTACATAAAGGCGATGATTGCTAACGTGTATGAAAACGCGGAGGTGAGTTTTATGGCGAGTTTGAATCGAAGGCGTCAGTATACACAAAACAGTAAATTCGAACCTGGTATATTGTTGAAGGAACAATTACTGGCACGTCTTAACTGTGGGATATTTGTGACCCCATTATCATCTTTCAATATGGCCGTTATAATACAAACGTTATTCTTATGGATGTTAATGCACTTTCTAATCATGTACAAATAATTCTGGAACGCATGACTGGTGACCAACACATTGAGTGGCCAGCCATGTTGCCGGATCTCAACTAAAGAGATCATTTATTATATTCACGTATGCCCAGTAAAGTCGGTTAGCTGCCGGTTAATACTGGAATGACATACCATAGAACAATATCACGTGGCCGGTTAAGAGTATAAGACAAAAATGCCAATGGTAAAAGCAGTCGTTCCTGATTTTTTTATGGTTTCAACATTTTCGTAAGCCAGTCAAGCAGTGGTATATAAACCAATAATAAATTCAATAATGCGTTCTTTTGGGGGCAAAAAAAAAATATCTAGATTCCGAATAGAAAAATTTAGAAAAGACAGAATACAAAGAAAAACTATGCCCATAAAAATTCCAAATAATTTGAATTTATTTTAAGTACAATATTTCCTTTGGTTACGCAAAGAAATCAATAAAATGTTTTTCCAGTTATGTGCGATTGTGTATAAAACAACGCAAGAGAGATGCTTTTTTTCTATTTTTAATGCAAAGTACTTGCATAACTTTATTACATCAGCCTAAATATCGCTTTTCTCTATATATTTCTCTCTCTCTATATATATATGTGTGTGTGCATATATATATATATATATATATATATATATATATATATATATATGCGTATGTCAGATAAATAGTGAATAAGTGGTAAGTGCGCAAATATATGTGCCTGTGTGTGTAGGTGTGAGTCCGCGCGTGGGTTTAATAACTTACTTGCACTAGTCAGTCAGTTATGCGCCATGCGGGATACACGCTTAGGCGATTATGTATCTATCGATACATGACTGACGACGCAGATTTTTTTCCGCAGTGGGTTGCCATTTCTTTTTGCGGTAGACCAGTTGCCATGTCCTGGTATTTAGCCAGGGGAGAAAACGAAGGTCCTTACCTTTCCCAAGAGTATTAGAACGTAAGTGAATGTAAAGGATTCGACTGGAATTCGAACTCGGCTTTCCGATTCCTCAAACCGAGCCGCTATCCATTACTCCACCGTGCTTGTTTTCGCGTGTTGTAAATATTAATACAACAATCTACAATGTTGAAAAGGGAGACAAACGACAAAACAAGTGTTTTAGCAAATGTCTTCATAATTGCAGTGTGAGATTAAAATGCTGTTACTTTTCATCAGGAAACTTCTTTGTCAAATTATTCAACATGTTTCTCTTTAAGTCTTTCGCTTTTATTCACACACCATTCCACCTTCAACTTCTGCTTTTTCATCATTTGCTTCCCCTTTATCTTTCCCCTTTTCTTTCTTTTACTCTTCCTATGCTTGTCTTTCTTTTTCATCCTTCATTTCTTTCTTCTTTTTTGAGAATAATTACTTGTGTATAAAATAAGCTTATTGTACTTAATGAACTATATGGAAACAACACGTATATATTTGAGTACATGTTTGGCTGTGTGCGCTTGGGATAAGTTAATGCCAAAATAAAAAATAATAAAAAAACAACAATTTAACTTAATCAACAAAGCGAACATTTTAACCTTATCCAACACATACTTATCTATTTCTATCCAAACAATTTTTTATTTATATATACGTGTTATGGACGTAATAGTCTTAACTTGCTAGACATTTATCAGATAAATTATTTACATTATAATATATTTCAGACATGCTTATATTTAATTATCATTTTTCACATATTAATCTGTTAATTTGCTTTTAACGCTAAAAATAGAAAACAGAAGTTTAATAAACAGACCCGCTTAGAGTTACATGTATGTGTAGCAACAGAGCGTTGAAAACAGAACAACTTAATGTTCAGAGTTAAAGGTTTCATATTTCAAAACATTCTTCCATTAAGCACATAACTATTTTTTTATTCCTATTTTATATACATCATATTTCTAAAGTATTAAAACTTCTAATATATGGACCACATAAATAGATATATAACAGACGTCAGGAATTGCTTTGTTTTATAAGACGTTCTTTTTTTTGTTTTGTTTTTTTATTTTACACTGATGTTCATACTTTACAAGAGCCAAATGATAGTTACAGAAACTGTAGACGTTGGGAAGATGGCGGTTAACCCTAGACTTTAACAGGTTAAGATTGTAGTGATTGGGGAAACTACTTCTTGGAAGTCTGGACAAAAGAATGCAGTTCGTTGGAAGAAGCTCTTCGAGTTGAACTTACATATTAGAAATTGAATAAGAAAGGGAATGGGTAAGGTTCGCTCAGAACTAATGAAAGTTGTTAGCCTGAAGACTTTCTATGGATATAACTTTCTTGTTGATTTCAAACTAAACAGATTCAGAGTTTGGGTCCTGGGACCAACGAGAATAGAATTAGTGGAACGCACAAATGTTAAGCTTGATATTCATATTTAAAGGTAACAGTCCGAAATAGAGAGTAATTTATGAAGTAATCGTTTGAAAGTCGGTAAAGACTTTGAATGCAGTAGGGTTAAATTTTTGATAATCTGTTATGTTCTGAATACTTAATTTAAAGAGTGACATTCATGCTTGAATGAAATGTGTGATTCACTCTTCGCTTTATCTAAATTAATAGATTCTCAAAATGTTGATAGATATCTATCTCAGTCTCTTCATTTTCTATCTCTCGCTCTCTGTATATATATATATATATATATATATATATATATATATATATATATCAGTCTGTTTATTACCTATCTGTCGACCTATCTCAGTCTGTTCATTATCTATCTGTCTGTCTATCCATCTATCTAAACATGATCATTATCTATCTATCTATCTATCTATCTATCTATCTATCTATCTATCTATCTATCTATCTATCTATCTATCTCAACATGATCATTATCTATCTATCTATCTATCTATGTCAATATGATCCTTATCTATCTATCTATCTATCCATCTATCTAAACATGATCATTATCTATCTATCTATCTATCTATCTATCTATCTATCTATCTATCTATCTATCTCAACATGATCATTATCTATCTATCTATCTATCTATCTATCTATGTCAATATGATCCTTATCTATCTATCTATCCATCTATCTAAACATGATCATTATCTATCTATCTATCTATCTATCTATCTATCTATCTATCTATCTATCTATCTATCTCAACATGATCATTATCTATCTATCTATCTATCTATCTATCTATCATTTAGCGTCGGATTAAGCAGAATAAATATTTCCGGTATAGTTGCAGTCATTAGAATACCAGATACCTCCATTTAGCATATAGAATTCTTTTTAAATCAGTTTTGGATAAAAGGCGGGAATTATATCTTATATCCTATCAAATCCAATATCTACCTATTTTTTTAAGAGCAATTTCTTTCGGGACCTAGACGATCATAGCTCTCCACACATTTCTTTTTTATTATCCGTGAACTGTCTTCTTTGTCAAAATAGTGGAGTGATTTTCCATTGGTTTTCTTCACGGTATTGCTTCTCTCAGAATTCTCAATCGACCCTGATATTAAATCCACAGCTTTGGGAGACGAGTCTTCTTTCTCTTACATTTGATGTCACTCGAGACAAGAGATTCAAATATGCTCTGCTATTTAACGAGAGAGAAGTGAAGTATTACTGACTTTGACAAGAGAAATTGTGCGAAAGTGATCGCAGCTAGTGACGCTAAATTTCTCTCTCGTTCTCTCTCTCAATCTCTCTCTCTCTCTCTCTCTCTATATATATATATATATATATATATATATATATATATATCACACATATATATGTGTGTGTGTTTGTGTGTGTGTGAGTTTATTCTTTATTAATATAAAAGCTATATTGAAATAATACACGTGTTTGAGTAGACGTTTTAAACAATATAGTTGGAATCTACCGGCTTGGACAATCGATAGGCATAATAAAGAGAAAGCCTGTTCTCCCTTATATAGGAGAAACTAATAGGTCTATAACGTTTATAAGCTAGTTAGAACCAGGACTTTACAGAATCCCTTCGTAGATAGATAGATAGATAGATAGATAGATAGATAGATTTAACCCTTTCTACTGTTATTATGTTTATTTATGTACCAAAGCATAGATGGGTCGATACGTCTCCTCATGTTTCTGTATTTATGAAGAAATTCGTTTGCACGTACTACTGACTCGACTTTATTTACACTCATGTCAAATTTACCGTTAGTAAAAACCTAAAAGCCTCAGCACGCACACATACCCCTGACCCACGCGCGAGCACTTTTGAAAGCATCTCTCCATTTGTGAAAAAGCATTGTGCGTGTGTACATGCGCAAGTGTCTGTTTCTTAAGCCAACAGCTAAGTCACGCCTAATCAAGATAACTGTGACGAACAAGGAAAGTTGGTGTGTGGCCAGGATCTTACCGCAAAGGGTTTGGGGAATTGTGATAGTGGATACCAGTGGGAGATTAATGGAAGATGGATGAATAGCACTGATCGAAAGAGGGCCGGGAAAGTGTTAGAAACTATGAACGAAGAGAGAAGGGAGAGGAATGAAACAAGGTTGAGTAGAAGCGAACATTCAACAGAGAAGTAAGGAATAATTAGTAAAGATGAATACGTAATTGAAAGAAAAATAGAACGTGAAAAAGAAAGGAGAAAAGGAAAGAAAAGGGGAAAAAAGAAAAAAATGCAAGTACATATAAAGAAATAAAGACTAAATGAATAAAAGATAAAAAAAGACAAGAACTAAGGAAAAGATAAATAAAAAGACGTAAAAGAAAGAAAGCTAACGAAAATAAAGAAGAACGAGGGTACAAATAGAAAGTAAAACGGGAGAAAGAAAAAGGAAGAAAGAAAGAAAGAAAGAAAAGAAAGGCGAGGAAAATAAAAAGAGAGAAAGCTCTATAAAAAAAGAGAGAAAGTACACGAAAGAACGTAAGAAAAAGTCATGCGACAGAAGGAAATAAGGTGAAAGAAATCAAGCGAAAGAAAGAAAGTTCGAGAGAGAATGAAAAAAAAAAATCAGGCGAAAGAAAGAAAAAGAACGAAAGAAAGGAAAAATGAATGAGACAGAACAAACGAAAGCTGGCTAAAGAAATAAAAAATTGTCTACTTGAGCCAAAGAAACAGGAAAGAAAACAAGCAGTCATGACTCCGAAACATATGCTCCCGATAGAAAAGAAAAAGAGAGAAAGGAGCAAGTAACAAACGCGAAAAAGAAGAAGAAACGGAGAAAAGATAAAGAGAAGAAGGATGGCGGACAAAACGAACGTACGACTGACAAATGGCACAAAGAAATGTACAAAACGAATGATAGTTTATGAGATGGAGGCAAATGAATAACAGAAACAAATAATCAAACGCAGAAAGAAGAATGGGAAAATGAATTGAATAGAAGAAAGAATAGCGAAAATGGAAATATTGGAAATAATGAAAGAAGTAAGCAGAATCCAAGGAAAAAGGACGGACCAATAGGAAAATATCTGAGTAAACCACAAGAAATGAACGATGTATATCGATCGATCAGTAAGATTAGAAATAGGGCAGCTCGAAAGGAATTTATAATAGCTGAATGAACATGAAAGAAAGCAGGAACGAATTTAAGTAATATGAAATATGTTTATGTTCTGGAACAGTTATTTTCTTAAAGAAATATAAAGAGAACCGTCTCAGTTCTTCATCATATAAGAATGATAACCTTATCGAAAGAACGTCTGTTTCATACACTCTTTCAAAACTCTTTATGATAGACTTGCTTTCTTTTGTTTTGAATCTAAACACCAGCACCTTTGTGCTTTGGCCAAATTGCCTTATGGATATGTGCATATGTACACACGAATTACTCTAGATGTTTTGTCTTAGCTGCTGTCATGGTGCTAACCAGTGAAACGTGTGTATGATTTATACAATAGCGCGGATGCCATTTTCGCTTCATTATCAAGAAATAATAAAAGCTGATTTGCACCATTCTATATAATGATACGTCATTCCCTTTTCATCATTGTCATTAAACTCGTTTCGATTATAGTGCTACAGTCTCACTAGATTGGATCGAGTGGTTTGATATTTATGGCTTATCAAACTTTTGCAGATAATTTAAAGTCGGAAAAAAATTTAGAGTATAAAAATTTTCTTTGGAGGGATAATACTTATTTACTAATACATGGCGTAGTAATTGCCATAATTCGCCATGTATATTACGCCTTCATCCATAATACGTACCCCTAAAATTGTGCTGAAAGTGTGAGAAAATGTTTCTACTCATGCTTAATACGCACTCCTTTTTTGGTAATCAAATCCTATAAATTGTACCTCCCCACTTTCATTACGGCCAGCGTTTCCTACACTTTTTGGATAAAAAATGGTAGTAATCATAGAATAATATTATTCTATTTTAATTTTATAATAATTCTTATTTTATTTTACACTTGTAAGTATTTTGAGGTACATATTGTATTTGACATCCTTATTGGGTCGTAATCAGCGAATGTTAGTGTCAAATTGTTCATATGTTTGTGATGAGTAATCATTTCGCAACTGAGATCGACCAATGAAACGGCAATTTTTTAAAGATATTTTGTCGCTGTGTATAATACGCACCCCTAATTTTCCTAATTATTTTTTTTTTTTAGAAAAAATGCGTAATATACATGGAGGAATTACGGTAACCCATAGATAGGGTTGAGGAAGAGGTGGATCGTTATCTTTCGCCAGGGTATTTGGGCGTAAGTGAATATAGAGAACCTGACTGGAATTGGAACTCTTCTCCCCGATTCCAAATTCCTAGTCATTATTAATCACACCACCCGCACATCCAAGCTTACAGCATTTGGTATTCTTAAGGGTTCACATATCCAGGTACTGGCCAGGCTCTAGGTTGGTGAATTAAAAATCCATGATCGTAGAGAAAGGGTGATTCAACGCAATATGGCCGTAAGCCATTACCAAGAAAGGTATTGTTGCTGTGTTTTCTGTATGAAAAGAAATATTTACGAGGTAGAGTTACCGGAAACTCTACCAAACGGGTTTTAAATTTGCTCTTCTCCAAGATTGATTGCCAACAAATGCTAGAGATCACTGTCTCCCCTGCTATTTAACCAATAATTTGTTGGGAGAAATTATGGTCCCATATCTTTCTCAGGGGTATCTGTGAAACGCATGGAACTTGACGACACTCGAAAACTCAGCATGCCGAATACCTTTTTCAAAGTCGATAGTTACGCAGTTACGCTATATATATATATATATATATATATATATATATATATATATATATATATATATATATATATATATATATATATATATATATATATACTCGTTCGAACGTAGAATTGTTCAATGTTGCTCTATAGAGAGTCTATTATACCAAATTAGGTATAAAAGAAAAGTTAACCGGTTCACCACCCAAGATGTAAGCATGATAATAATATTTGTCTCAGTACTTCACATTAGTCACGTTTATAAATGACCTGATAAAACGATCAGTCAGTTATGTGCCATGCGTGATACACGCTTAGGGGATCATGTATCTTTAGATACATGACTGACGAGGCATTGCTTGCTATCCAAGGCTATAGACACCAGTCTGTCCTGCTACTTTACCCACAGCTGGGGGAAAAAAGAGGATTCATACCTTTTCCAAGATCATTAGCTCGAAAGTGAATGTAATGGATTCGACTGGAATTCGAACTCTGCTCTCCGATTCCTCAATACGAGTCGCTATTAATTACGATACTGAATCTAAAAAAAAAACAAATACCCACTCAACGAAAAGCGCCTATAGCGACAATTGGTTATATTTCTTTTTTCCTTTTTATCTTGAAAAAATTATAATTTTTAAATTTAATTGCAAAATTAAATTCGGCTTTTAGCTTCTATTTTTGAAACTTGGTTAGAACTGTGTAGCGGAAAAAACATATTTTAAATCAATTAATTTGTAATATATATGTATATATATATATATATATATATATATATATATATATATATATATATATATATATAACGTCATCCACAGACAGACTGTTTCGCTGTTTACAGCTCATCAGTGTGGCTATACTTCCAGTTGCCTCTAGCTAGGATATTGATATGTCCCGGAAGGGTATATTTGTTCGAAGTAGCAAAGTGGTTGTTCGCTACTGTAACCGGGTAGGACAATCTAGCAGGTAACATTAATGGACTGGTCCTCGTCGTAGTGGTAGGCAATAGGCGTAGGCAATAGGCGAAGACAATAGGTGTAGTCAATAGGTGTCATCTTGTGCCTACACATCAGTCTGTATTTATGGCTGACACCAGCAAATCATATTACTATGAGGGGAAACCCAGGGGTATGCATATTCCTTACATCATATATATATATATATATATATATATATATATATATATATATATATATGGAGAGAGAGAGAGAGAGAAAAGAATGAGTGTGTTTATTTAAGGGAAGTAGTTGAAATAAAGCTTTAAGAATTTTTCGGTTTATATTTTCGTAGTGCTTACTACTTTTGGGAAAATATCTCTAATCCGCCAAGTAAAAATTGATAAATAAAACATATTATGAATCGGAAAACCTCGTTCTGATTCTTGATTTAATGGGCTTAGCGATTTCGTTTCAGCGGACGCATTATAACTAATTGCCAAATTTATATTTTCCTCAGTCACCCGTTAACTGGATATTTTTTTTTAAATGCAATATCTCGTCAGAACTTAGCTATCTATAGTTTGTCTTTCTTTGTCAACTGCCAATTTTCATTTATGCATTCTTTGAAAAGATAATGTATTTGCCTGTTCCCCATTTTGTAAATTCAGTGTTCTTTTTCTTAGACTAGTTGTCAGCCGAAGCCAGAAATTCTGGTCTAGTTTTAAATTTGACCCAGTGCTGGATTAGAATAGATAGATTAATATTTTACTGTAAAAAACATAATGTGAAAGTGAACAATCTAGGCCAGGATTTGAACTCGGCTAGCAAATTCCAATTTTCGCCTCGATAAACTAATTATACATCCGGCAATTTATATGCTTAAAATGCCGTCTGAACTTCTGGGATGAGAAGTTATGATTATTAACACTGTTTATATACATACTATTTTCCTTATCTTTCTTGCTATTAACACAACATTTCGATAACTGTGTCCATCGGATTGCGTCAATTGTATATCGATAGGGTATCCTAAAGGTAATTCTCAACTGAACCCTTTATTTAGTTTACGATGATAGACTGCTCTCGTTTCTCTGACCATGTCTAAGAATAAATCATCTAGTTGTTATTTTTAGTACTGCTCAGTTGGTGCTCGCCCTGTTTCAACTGAGTCCATGTATTCACTACCCAGCCCAAGGTTTGAACTCACAATTCCTATGTCACTAAATTGACGAATCAAATCTTTAACCGATTCAGCCATTTCCCGATAGGATGAAAGTGTTGATTCATGAATTTAGTGATATACTATTTATGAGTTCCTGGATCCCTGAATAACTGAGCCATGAAGTGTGTACTTGGAATCAGAAAAAGATAGAACTAGAACCGAGTCGTAAGCCGGAGAGCAAAACGACTATGTTGAGGGGTTCTCCCCTTTTTACACAAATGGACTCACCCAGTATATACATATACTACTGCTACGAGAAGACACGAGAGTAAGAGAGAGCAAGACCGAGGAGTCTAGTTGAGTCCATAGTGAGAGAGTAAAAGGTTGTAGGTAACCGGAAGAGTGAGGGGTGAGGTAACAGCGTTGTAGGAGTCACAGTGAGCGAGCATGTAGACTCAGTAAGAAGTCATACAGCGATGCTTCAATACCAAAGACTGTATATATATTTTGCTACTAACCCGTATTCCTGGAACTACTAACCTGCATTACTAGTTTGTATTATTACGTTAATACATTATTTTCATATATTCATTCTTGGCGTTTTTTATTTATTGGTACCGGATTTCAACCCGAAATCCACAACAGACTAAAACATGGTGATAACAGCAACAAAGAATAGGACAATAGTTCTTATGTAAATAGGCTTGAAAGGGCATTGACAGCAATTTAGTTGTAGATACATTAAATCTGTTGATCAATTTTATCGATGAAAGAACGTCCATTTTCTAATTGTGATTTCCTATCATCACTTATGTGGAGGTTCCCTTTCGTTCAAAATTCAGGATAATGATGGATTTTAATTTATTTTAAGTATCACTCGACATAATAGACTATAGGAATGCAGATATCAAATTTGAAACAGCGTTGAGATCAAATAGCGAAATTACGAGGAAACAGCCATCTTTAGAAAATAAACCTTCAGTGATATCCAGCACAAGACACCAATTTGAAACAGCCAATAGTAATAAAACTTACCAGCCATAAAGACGTGCCCAGGCGACAGAGCAGACAACGTGCTTAACCAATTAATGTTCACGTCGCTTCGATAATTCCTTCTTTACACGCGAAAATGGAGACATCAGACATCTCAAATGATGCGTGCGCCGAATCAAACGGACTTATGAATTATTTGAATAAGTCAAAACGTAGAAATGGAAATGCAAAGTTAGGTATTATTTTCGCTATGTCATTTTCCCGATGGCAGAATATTTAATGATAGTTTTTTCTTCATGCAGAGTATACAGAACCCTAGGCAAAATATTGCCTGAATTACTTCTATTATAACGTACTTTGGATGTTGATCGATTTTGCAAGATAGTCGTCGAACCATATTGCTAGATGATATGTTTCATCATAGGCTTACCTTTTAAAGGTAAGTTAGATTTTCGAGACTGGACGTTAGCTTTTGTGTTTCAGTAAACAGATGACTGTACACATTTTAATTGATAAAAACACACCCAAAAATATGTGTATGATGATGATATTGATGGTGTTACAATATTAAGTAGATAAAAATTGATGGAACCAGTTGAATATGTCTGAGTTGCATCAATGAAGCAGTGAAAACTGCCAGAGTGAGACTGTTGCCCTATATGAACTGAATATAGTCAGTCCTTACTTTCAAACATTGACTGATTTCAAAAGAAATTACACAGACTTGTGAGCGATAACTCATTCTAAATCTTACAGTCACTTTCCCGTAATCTGGTCACTACTCTCTTGCCATTACAAGTGCAACATTTTTTTACTAAAAACATCTAATTCGCTTACTTTTAAAATCCGCTTTGTTTGGTTCAAATTTTCAAATTGTCCTTATTCTCTACGTATTCTTTGGTAAGAATGGCGTTTCTCTTTCTTAAGAAACTCTACTTTATAGAACAGAACTCTTCAATTTTAGGCACAATAATTATCTAGCCGCCACACCCTTTTCTTTGTTTGTCCTCTCGCATTTAAATCACCCCTCAGTCAGTAAACATCTACATCTAGTGATACTTGGACTTTGTATAAGTCAAAGAATATTTACACCTACCGAGATAAATATTCCTTCTCAAAGCACCAAACTACAAAATGTATACATTGCCTAAAGAATAAGAAGTCTGCCGAAAGAACATCATTCTATCGGAATAAAGATTCACTTTATAGAATCGGTATTTCATTAAATAAACAATTGGATTTCATACCAACCAAGGTTTAATAATGGAAATTCCAATCTCCAAGTGATATGAAATATGGCTCAAGGTTACAAGTTAAATGCAGACCTTTTGAAAAAATTCTGTCAAAACTTATGAGAATCATAATAATATTAACATTACCATAATAATGGTAACATAACCGCAATCTAGAAGGACATTCAGTAAGCTTGCTCGATTTAGCGATACAGATTTGAGTTGCAAGAAAAGGTATTGTCACTCGATAAATTAAATTCTGTCTGAATTATGCGTCATTGTGAAAAAGAAATAACATTTGTTGAAGCGAGTTCTGTATGGAAAAGGCCAGACTCACACTTTTTGTACCGTATATGCATATCTATATATAGCTATCGAAATAATTAGATTGAGCTCTGGGAGAGGAAGAGGTGATGGCTGCTAATGCAATGCGTTTCTAATCGAATCGAGTTCTACTAGTTACTGACGTCTTTCCCTTAGTAAAAACGTTACAATTTACCTTCCGCTCTGCAGTGCAACGATAGCTTGAGGGTAGAATATCTGACCGACTCCAAATCGGTCGGGTTTCAAGCAATCTGATGTCTAGCCACACTGAGGAGATGTCATACAGAAAAACAGTCTGATATATATATATATATGCGTCATATATAAGCTAGACTCGATATTGCGTTACTACTACTATATATATATATATATATATATATATAGTGAGAGTAGTAGTAGCAGCGCAATATCGAGTCTAGCTTTTGTCTTCTCGTCACAGAGTCCTTGTGGTACAGTTGGTATGGCGTTTGCGGTCCGGGTTCGATTCTCGGTATTGGACATGCACTGCTGATGCGTCACAGATAGGGCGAAACAGCCGCCAAGTGCATCCTTCTAGGCTCGACGTATTACTATATGATTATATATATATATATATTTCGACATTCACACCGCCTTGTGATACAGCTAAGCTTATTACATCGCTCGATCGGTTAAGGCACGTCAGGCTATATGGCAGTTCCGTAGAGGATACAGGTTCGATTTCTATCTGAGGACGAATATTTTCTATGAAAATTCCTCGAATATTCAGGCCGAGAGAGTGTAGCTATATAGTTAGGCTTATCTTTATTCCTTTCACACGCTTTATATCCCAAATAAATCTTTTCTCGCGTCAAATCTCTGTTCAAATGGACCACTCAGCTACTCTTCTCTCACACAAACGATCAATAATCTTTTAACTTAAACGGCCACTTTTGACATTCTTATATTTTTTTTGTTTAATATTTGAAAATACTGGGTTTCAGTAAACATTAATTTATTAAAACCGTTTCACCAATGATAAAACTTTCCAAAACGTATTTAGAACAAGGGTTAATGAGTACCTATTGAAGCCTATTCGAGTGAAATTCTTAATTAATACTTCAATAATGCCAGACAATGCTTGAGCGATCGGGAATGCTTTCAACACACAGCCAAGTAAGTTGGTATTTTTTTGTCTGGGTTTTATCAGTTGGATAACTGTCAGAGCAAAGAAGCTTGTACATGATGTTTGAACCTATTCTTAATTTCGACCCGATGATTAATTACAAGGATCAATGTCTAACTCCATATCGATGTGCCACAGTGCCGGAAACCTTTCTGAATAAGAATTCAATTACATATGAAACTTTAAAAGCCTTTAACGATAACCAGTACACTTTTCTATTGCACTCTTTCTAATCGATAGATAACACATGCTGCTTAATTACACTGTGCATTAATCAGTGAGTAATATTATTTTCGATATATTACTACGGCTATATGTTCATTTACGTTTGAAATATTGTGGAACACGTCAATGTCACAGAAATTAACTTTCCGAAATAAATAATAGAATATTTTTTTGTGTTTCCTCTTTATTCCCAATTTTACTTTAAGTTGATCAATTTTGGATGCATCAAAAATATTTTCATTTTTTACAGACCCGTATTTCGTGTCCACCATTGGAGACACGCTACCACTACACCATTATTTCATTACCATAGCAATACCCTTGACAATTTCCAATTTGAATATTTTTGTGAATAATAATGATTGAACAAGACCCTTAGGAGTTTTATAAAATATATAGACTTTAAATTAGTATGAAATATATAGTCTATAAAATACTATGGAATATATAGACTATAAATTACTATGAAATATATAGACCATAAAATATATAAAAATGCTATGAAATATAACGATTATAATATACTATAAATTATATCGAGTATAAAATACTGTGAAATATATAGACTATAAAATACTATAAAATATATAAACTATAATGTACCTGGGAAAATACCCCTGTTCCATCGGTAAATATTGAGCTTTCTTTCTTGCTTGCTAGAGTATTATTATCAGACAGACCTTGTTTTTCATACTAAGACTAACCATTATATATATATATATATATATATATATATATATATATAAATATATATATATATATATAGAAATATAAACAGCAAGATATATAATCCGGTATAGATATTTTATTTTTACAAAATAGTGCTCAATGCAAATTTACAGAGCATTAATATTATAAATTAATTGATTTAAAATATGTTTTTTCGCTACACAGTTCTAACCATGTTTCAAAATGGAAGAAAAGCCACGAATTTAATTTTGTGATTAAATTAAAGACATTAGTTCCATTTCATCCTCAAGCGAATTTTGGAGTAAATCTAAATTTTAATCACAAAAATAAATTCGTGGCTTTTAGCTTCCATTTTTGAAACATGGTTAGAACTGTGTAGCGAAAAAAAACATATTTTAAATCAATTAATTCAATATATATATATATATATATATATATATTCAATCTTTCCTCGCAACAACAACGTAACGGTAATGATAATAATAACCGTTTCCCTATAAGGAAACATATGGCATTCATTAGTCGAGCAAACAATTCTGCTTTTGATTGAAATTTAGAAAATCGTTCTCTTAAAACCATTTTTTGAGGAAAATTATTTTTTTAATTCCAGTAGCTATCATCGTTCTTTCCAGTACTGATAGCGTGTGGAATTTTAACATCCTGATTATTTCATTATTTTTTCTTTGACCATCCATTTTACTTGTTGCTGATGTTGGCATTCTTCAAGAGATGTTGTTTCTGTTATTTGGTACAGTTCTTTGTTTGTGAATCTGAACAGGTTTGGCATCATCCATGACATCGACATGACATCCATCTGACTGACGAGTCTATCTAAGAACATGACTCGACTTCAAGTGGATGTTTTGGTTTTGAAGTAGTTTCTGGTTTTGGATGAAACTACCTCATTACGCATCGTATTCTATGATCAATTTCCTTTTCTCCTATATTACATCATACATCTAAGGTAATGACGAGGCGTAACGCACGTGCTAACCAACAAGTAGAGTTTTAATATGCTCATTTTCCATACTATTCAACGGTATCATTTCAACCAACTATTACAATGGTGGATACTAACTGCAAAATGACGGTATTTTAAACTAAACCTCGAAGCCGTTTTACCTGCTCACATTACGAGAAGTGGAATGAAATTACTTTAACCGCGGTAACGTCTACATTGACACAAAACCAGAAGATTTACAACCATAGATTGTCTACTGACGAATATACCAAAAGCAGGATGAATTAAAAAGCAACTTCTAACTCTTGAAAACCTTCAGCAGAACCATCGATTGATATTGTACGTCTCACGAACCCATTGTGTGTTAATTAAATCAGGACCAAATTTTGGACTGTGAAAACGATTCTTTGGCGAGTGAATATTGAATTAACATTTTGTTTTGAGAATAACAATATCTTTTCCAGAAACAAACC